ACTCCAGAGGCTTGGAGGGTGAGAGCTCCCCAGTCAGCCCACCAAGAAGCTCTGAATCCGGGACAACTCTGTTCAAACAGAGCTAGAAGCCGCAACCAATCCTGCTGTCAAAAGTGAGTTTGATTGATTACAAGCGCAGGCAGAGCGGAAACAGGAGAACAAGCTTTAAATTAACAGTGCTTAACTCCGGACTTACAATGTTTCAAATTGAATTTCTTTGAGCTGAAGGCTGAAGATGGCGCCTTTGTTAGTGTGAAAGTGAAAGTCAGAAATGAAAGTGTTTATTGAGAACTTTCTGTGAGAGTGGATTAAGCTGCTGGGAATAGAGAGCTTGTGGAGAAAAGACTATTTTGCTTGATAAATTAGAGACTATAATTTACAAGCTCTTGAAAATTGTTTAAGGGACTCTGTGGCTTTGAAGGGGGAAAAAGATCCTTTTTTAAAAAAAGAAAAAAATGGCTTCTAAACAAGTTAAGTCAGGAGTTGCTAAAGGAGGAGGAGGTTCTCCAATTGTGTCAGTGGTGACACAGAAAGCACAACTTCCAGTTGATTCACAGAGTCAGGAGGCTGCTCTTAATGACCTCAAAGAATTTATGAAAGAAGCCATGAATAATCAAGCTGCAGCAACGAATAACTTAACAGTAATCTTGGAAGGGAAATTAAAGAAAGTTGAGGAGGATATAAAGTCAATTAAAGAAGTTGTTGCAATAAAGCATGATGAAATAAGAGATGATATTGTTTTTGCAGTATCAGGACTGTCAAAACTTGTTATTCAGGTGGAAGAGAGAGTGGAAGAAATCAATGAAGCCAACTTGAATTTGGAAAGCAAAATGGGAGATATTATGACTAAAACAGAGAGGGTGGATGATGAATTGGTAATGTTACAATACAGATCTATGGAATTTGCCTTGAGATTGAGAGGCCTGAAAGAAAATAGTAAGGAAAATCTAAAGGACATTTGTGCTGAAGCTATTGCAGAAATAATTAAAGAAAGACCAGAAGATGTGGCAAGTCGAATTGATAAAATCTACAGGGTTAACTCCTGGCTGGCAAGACAAAGACAGTTGCCAAGAGATGTGGTGATTTATTTTACAACCAGGAGGATTAGAAATGACATTTTACAAGCTTCTTACAAGAATAAGGTTCAAGTGGCTGGGCAAGAAGTGGTGGTTTTGAAAGAGATTCCCCCCAAAATGTTAAGAAGCAGAAAGGATTTTGGCTTTCTGGTAAATGAACTGAGAAATCAACAAGTGCCTTACAGATGGGATGTTCCAACTGGGTTAATAGTAACTTATAGTGGAGAAAGATACCGTTAAACACAGTTTGGAAGGCAAAAGATTTTTATGTTAATGTTCTAAAGGCTGGATACCCACCCTCACCGGGGGGGGGGGGATATAAAGAAAATGGAGATGCTACAACAAGAAAAAGATGGAAAGCAGACACAAACTTATGCTGAAGTTGCAGCAGTATGGTCAGCTTCAAGCTAGATGGAAGGAAGATCAGAAAATTGGTGTCATGCAAAATGAGGAAAATTTGGTGAAACAGATTAGAGATCAAAGTCAAATGCATATCAAAAGGTTGTATAATGCATTATTGGAAATAGATTCAGAAACGGAATTGGTTAATGATTGTATGATAAAATGGGCACAAAACTTTCAGGAACCAGTGATGATGGAAACATGGGAAAAGATTTGGGTTAGAAATGTTAAATTTACGCAAGCACAAAATTTGAGAGAGAATTTTTATAAAATGTTTTATAGATGGCATTTAGATCCTAAAAAATTATCATGTATGTACCCAAATTTGCAAGCTAAATGTTGGAGATGTGAATGTGATGATGCAACTTATTATCATATATGGTGGACTTGTAAGAAAATCAAGGCATTTTGGATAAAAATTTGGTGGGTAATGCAGAACATTCTGAAAAAAAGGTTGAAATTTACTCCTCAATTGTTTCTACTGGGTATAACGATGAATTGTACAGTATTAGAGACTAAATTGATCTTGAACTTAATATCAGCAGCTAGGCTGTTGGTAGCGCAATATTGGAAGAAGGATTCTTTGCCTACTATCGAAGAGTGGATATTGAAAGTAACGAACTTAGCAGAAATGGCAAAAATCTCAGCGTATTTGAAGGATTTACACAAGAAAGATACATATCGGAATGGAGAAGATGGATTGATTACATTCAAAATAAGTATCAGACAAGAAAATATCAAATAGCTTATGAATGAATGTTAAGTATTAGAAGTATTATGTTATCTATAGTGGAGTTAAGGTTTCAGGGGGGAATTTAGTAGTCTAAGGATAGATAGGTTAATTTAGCTTATGATTGTTAATTGAAATACCTTGTATTTTGCTCTGGGAAGTTGGGGGGTGAGGGTGGGATGAGGGGAGGGAAAGGGTGGGGGGGAAAATCTTTTTCTTCTGTAAAATTTTCAATAAAAAAAAAGCTACTCAAACTACTTCAGGGATACAATTAGGTGTAGAAAGTTACAAAGTCACCAAGGCAATTCCACAAGTAGCTGACAATGTAGAGGAGTCAATGTCAATTTTGGAATATAAACCTGACACCAAACTTTATTATGATGGTTTAAACCCCGACCATGTCCAGCCCAGCCATGGCCATCCTAGCCATGTCTACTGGCCCCTCAAGGTCAAACACAACCCTGATGTGGCCCTCAATGAAATTAAGTTTGACACTGTTGAAATAGAGTGTTGAAAGGGACAAGTGTTATATTAAACAACCAAGAAAATGGTTGAAAATGTAGCACCCAAGTACTCCTCTTGGAATGGGCAACTGTAATAAACATCAGTGTTAACAATAATCCTTCACAAATCCTCTTTTGAAATATATATATATATATATATATATAAATGGGTTCTGTAGAAATAAAGTCATCAATATAATCCAACATACAACTCCTAGACAGAATAAAAAATGGGAACAAAACAAAACAATGGGAAAGTCATCTTGCCCTATATAAGGGGAACAACAGATAAAATTAGCAAAGTACTACATAAACACAACATCAAAACCATATTTTGCACAGATAGAAAGATATTGTCCATTCTGAGAAACCCTAAAGACAAAATAGAATTAGAAGATCAAGGCATATACGAAATCCCGTGTGCTTCCTGCCCATCAACATACATTGGACAGACCAACAGAAGAATGAGTGTGCGCATCGAGGAACACAAAAACTCAATACAAAAGCAAGAACACACATCATCATTAGTTCAACACATAAATACAACAGGACACAATATTAATTTTAATAACACAAAAACAGTTGCAAAAATAGAACATCTCAATGGCAGAATAATCAGAGAAGCAATTGAAATAGAAAAAAGACCATATTGCATGAATAAACGGGATGACACTTCACGTCTGCCTACTATTTGGAAACCTGCTCTCATAGATAGACGAATCTTAACACCAAATATAAAACATAGATCAAACATTAATCAAAAAACAAATCCCAACCAAATCATATTCAAACCAGCCACAAAGATGAAGCCCTGCCACCTAGTGGAGAAAAACTGACCATGCACCAGAAGCCAAGCCAATAAACACATACTGGGACTCCCAACCAATCAGAATGAAAAGGTGGAGCCATCCCAGACTACCAGCACCAGATTTGAAATAGCAACGGCAATTACTGCAAAAGACTCCTCACATAAGCCTGATGATGGCAGATGAGATTCTGTCGAAACGTCGCTTCTACCCTTTTAGGGATATATCCACAATAACATGGGAAGAAACCCGAAATATTAACTATACACACATATATACCCGTGAAAACTTACATAAACAAATATATAACAAATGTTTTCTCAGGTTTTCGTGGGTGTTTGTATGTAGGTCTTTGGTTATTCGAGATATATATATATATATATATATATATATCCAGTAGACAATAAGCAATCTTTCTCTTCTTTTTTTGTCAGCAATTTCTTTCAGCAAGGAAGATCACATGAGGTACTAATTTCTCTTTGTGAGTTGCTCTCTGTGGTTGAGGTCAGGCCGGAAAACAATGATGTAGCATTTTGGGAGGAATATGCATCCCAGTAATGCAGCACTGGAGGACAAGATGGAGAAGACCTCCACAGCTACCATGGCTTTTCCTTTTGTGCTCAGATAGGCTGGAAAGAAGGAGATCCACACACTGCAAAAGGCCAACATGCTGAAGGTGATGAACTTGGCTTCATTAAAGCTGTCAGGTAATTTACGGGCAAGAAAAGCCACAATAAAGCTTACAAAGGCCAAGATACCCATGTAGCCTAAGACACAATAGAAGAAGAAAGCTGACCCCTCATTGCACTGTAAAATCATTACTTGGAGCACTGAGTGCATGTCGAAGTCAGGGAATGGGGGAGATGTTGACAACCAAAGAATAAAAATACATACTTGTAAATGAGAGCATGAAAGTACAATAGAAAAGGCCAATCTTTTCCCCACCCATCTCCTCATTTGAGATCCTGGTTTAGTGGCCATGAAAGCCACAACCACAGTGATGGTTTTAGCCAGAACACTAGAAATGGCCACTGTGAAAGTGACACCAAACATTGACTGTCGGACAAAGCAAGTCACATTGCCAGGTTGGCTGAGGAAGAGCAAAGAGAAAAGAAAACAGAGCTGAAGAGAGACAAGGAGGGTGTAGGTGAGGGACCGGTTGTTGGCTTTGACAATGGGAGTATCCCTGTGCTGTATAAAAGTTCCAAGTACCCAAGATGTCAAGAAGAAGAAACAAAGAGCTGCTGAGGCCAAACTAATTCCTAATGTTTCTTCAAAGGTTAGAAATATCACCAGTTTCAGGATACATCCATTCTTTTCTTCATTTGGATAATGATCTTCTGAACATTCGAAACAGTCATCCATATCTGGAAGAAAAATCAATGAATTTGTCATTGTAGTAATTCTACACCATTGAAACTCACTTAACATTATGCATTCTAAATTGATTTAATAAAGGTTCCTTAAGTTCAAAGAAGAATGTCTACCCACCATTTTGGTTTGAAATCTTCCCTTCTGGGCATGGAACACAGTCATAGCAGCAGAATTGATTTCCCTCAATCCCTTTCTTCCAGGATCCACAGAAACAAGGATCATTACATCTGGAAAGTGGAAGAACCTGGTGATAATCATAAAAAGGTTTTGAAAAGGGAGAAATTTAAAACAGTTTGTGATGTTTTCCTTTATGTAGGAAAATTATTTTGATTTCTACAACGAATACTGAATTTATCAACTTCATCAACAACTTAAAAAATTACTAATCAGAATAATGTACAAATGGGCCTATTTGAAGGGTAAAGTGAGTAAATAATAACACATGGTGACAATCTCATGGAAACATGTCCACTCGTATGATTTCAAATAGAAATGGAAACCAAATATGCAAACATGGCTTTTACATTATCATTTTGTCAATTTGAGGAATGATTGATCATCAACAATATTTGAAAGAATATGCCATTGTTTATTTAAAAACATATAAATTAGACTTCTAAAGAGAGCACATTCATTATGGGATCATAATGGATTAAGGAATTGTTGATTAAATAAATCGATACCTGGTTAAAAACTGTATGCCAGACAATCACATCTTCACCAATGAGTAATTCCTTCCCCTTTGGTGCCTTGAGATCCATCTTTCCAACTTTGACTCTCTGAAAGGATCTGTTTGGAAAAGTGATCAAGTTGGTGATGTCGAATCCACCTGTTGCTTCCCCTTTCTCATTCAGGAATACTCTCTCCCCAGCTGAATTGTTGAAAGAAATGCCTTGAAGAAATGAATGGAGCTACTTGAAAGAGAATAGAAGAGATAGACAATTGAAAGTATAGCAGTGTAGAAGAGAACATGATACTCATTTTTTTCATCCTTCTTTCTATTCCTATAACAATAATTACATAAGTACACTTAGAAATTTACAATTGATATTTCATGGAAATATATAAGTCCACTTTATTATTAATTTGATATTATTTTAAAGAAAGATAAGAATGAATTGAAGGTGAGTGAAAATCGGTTTTTGGAATTATTTAACTTCCTTCAATTATGATTTGTGTTCCCTACTTAAACAATTAATTTGAGATATATCATATCTAATGTGTCCTCATTGATACAAAGTTGTTCAATAGTTAATTTCCTTTAGCAAATTTTTTGATTCTGAGATTCTAATATTCTTTGATAGACAGATTAGGGGTGGAGATTATGGCAAACATAAATTTGTTTCATACTACGGACACCGCATGTAAAAAGGACCACTTTTATTTTATTCCTCTAAATCTTTGATAAAGACAGAAAGTTTAGTTTGTCAGACAGAAAAATCTTATGAGCCACAGAGAAAGTTCTTAAAGAATTGATTCTTTTTGGAGAAGAAGATGAAAAATAATCTAGGTTATCAGTTTAACTATCTCTTATTGTGCAAGCTTGGGTGATTTGATAGAAACATAATAGAAAAGAGAACAGCATAATAAAGTTTCATTCAATAATTCTTTATATTCCAATAACTGTTATTGAATATATACATTTAGAAATTTGATGATCAATATTTCATGGAAATGTACATGTCCACTCTATTATTTATTTGATATTATTTTAAGTAAAGATAAGCATGAACTGAAGCAGAATGAAAGTAATCTTTTGGAATTATGTTAACTTTCTTCAATTATGTTTTAGGTCCACTACTTAAACAATTAATTCAAGATAGAGCATATACAATATTTCCTTGTTGGTACAAAGCTATTTGAGAGTCTCAGGTTTGACTAATTTTCTTTCACCAGATTTTAAAACCTGTGACTCAAGCATTCTTTGACACACAGATGAGAGAAAGAGATTATTGCGAACATAGATTTGTTTCATAGTATGGATGCCACATGTAAAAAGGACCACTTTTATTTTATTCCTGTAAAACTCTGATAGAGACAGAAAATTTTGCTTGTCACCCATGAAAATTTCCTGAGCCACAGCGAAAGTTCTTGGAGAATTGATTGTTTTTGGAAGAGACAATGAAAAATAATCTAAATTATCATTTTAATTATGTGTTATTGTGCAAGCTATGGTGATTTACTTAATAATTCCTACTGACACTTAAACCATAATTTATATAGTAGCTTCTGGATGATCAGAATAACAGAATGACAGAGTAATAGGAAAACAGAATAACAAGCGAAATCAGTTTTCTGTATCAGCACAGGTTTGTTGAAAACAGATCATGCCAAACCAATATTATTTCATTCTTCAATATAGTGACTAAATTAGTAGACCAGTGAAATACTGTGAAATAATATACTTAAACTTCAGCAAGGCATTCAACAAAGTAGACCGCACTTCTTGGTAAACTTGAAAAAAGTGGGATAGATAGCATCACCAATAGATGGATTAGCAACTGGCTGACAAACCATATTCAACAAGTAGTACTTAATTGGTCTACGTCTACATGGAGGGAAGTAAGCAATGGAGTACCACAAGATTCCATCTTAGGACCTGTACACTTAAATATCTTCATAAATGACTTAGATGAGGGAATAGAAGGGGAGCTTGCCAAATTTGCAGGAATAGCTAACACTCTAGAAGATAGGCTCAATTCTCTCTAAAAAAGGGAATTCAATGTAAAGAAAAGTAAAGTCTTACACTGAAGCAAGAAAACCAAAAGTACACATATAGACTGGGGGAAACTAGGCTTAATAGCAGTAGCTGTGGGAGGGTTCTTAATGGATAACCAATTAAATATGAGCCAACAGTGTGTGGCGGCATCCAAAAAAGCCAATGCAATCCTAAATTGCATTAACAGAGGAATACAGTCAAGATCAAGTGAGGTACTAATACCGCTCTATAAAGCCTTAGTAAGACCACACCTAGAGTACTGCATCCAGTTTTGGCCACCACACTATAAAAAAGATGTTGAGACTCTAGAAAGAGTGCAGAGAAGAGCAACCAAGATGATTAGGGGACTGGAAGCTAAAACATACCATGAAAGATTAGAGGAACTGGGCATGGCTAGTCTAGTGAAGAAAAGTACCAGGGGAGACATGATACCAATGTTCCAATATTTGAGGGGCTGCCACAGAGAAGAGGGGGTCAAACTATTTTCCAAAGCACCCGAAGATCAGAGAAGGAATAATGGGTGGAAACTGAACAAGGAGAGATTTAACCTGGAAATAAGGAGAAATTTTCTGACAATCAGAACAATCAACCAATGGAACAGAAATTGCCTTTGGAAGTTGTGGGAGCTTCATCAATGGAGGCTTCAAGAAGAGACTGGACTGCCATCTGTCAGAAATGGCATAGGGTTTCCTGCTTAGGCGAGGGATTTGACTAGATGACCTACAAGATCCCTTCCAACTCTACTAATCTGTAAGCAATCTGTATCTATTTTATACAGCACAGTATAACAAGGTTGCAAGGAACCTTGGAAGTCTTCTACTTAACACCCTATTAAAGGAGGTGACTGTATACCAGTTCACAGATATGGCTGCCCAATCTTTTCATAAAAATCTGCAGTGATGGAGCAAACACAACATCTACAGGCAAGCTGTTCCACTAATTCATTGTTCTCATTGTCAGGAAATTCGCTCTTATTTCTATGTTGTTTCTTATACTTGACTCAATGTGCAGAAAATATTAAGACTTTCCACATTGGGTTCAAAAAATCATTTTATGTCAAGCTGCTCATTGAAATAAAAGAAGTGTCCAATGCAAAGGAAATACCTGCCAAGACTGCAGATTGGGAAGATCAGTTTTTTTACGCATCGTAGTTGTCTTCCTACTGAACCCCAACATGTATAGATCCTGCAAAGCATGAGCCACAGAATAAACAGCATTGTAGATACTGTAGCTTTGGCCAGTCATTTCCATTTCAAAGGCAGGTCCAGGAAGATCCTCTAGCTTCATCTCCCCAGTGCATTGCCTGCTGTGCATTTCTTGTAACCCTGGTTTTGGAAATGAACAATCAAATGCTTGCTCCCAAACTTCTTGCAGAAACCCATCTCTATAGTCTGAAAGTGGATTTATGGTCTGGAGAAACTCCTTGAAACCTGCAACTTCTGTTGAATGAACAGTGAAGGAAATTGCCCCATGGAACATCTGGAGGTCCCAGTTGATTAGAAATCCTGACACTATGAAATCAATCTGTGCAGTCATGATCCACACCTTTCCAAATAATGTAGTTTTATTGCTGTTAGGATCTACTGGAAACATTACAAATCTTAGCCACATAATTGTCAATGCTTCTCCATAGACAAGAACTGCATTGACTTTGCTATTCATCAAATGAATGGAAATAATTGAGATTCTTTGAAAAAATTCTTGGAATTCTTCCATGTGGGCCAGTTGTGAAAGCCTTTCTATAAACGCTAAGCAGATTCCGTTCTCTGAAAGTAAGGGCTGCATTTTCTGTAAGAATTTTTCTCCATTGTCATTATCAACAGCAAAAATCCCAATCCATGTCCACCTGAAATGGTGAAGCAGTTGGATAATCCCAATGTACTGATGGTCTTCTTTGGGGACCATGAAATAAAGTGAAGAGAGCTTACTGGTCTGAAATTCTTCTTTGGCTAATGAGCCGTATGTGAGCTGCAAGAAAGTGGAGTAGTATTCTCTTGAGTAGTTAGATCAGATCTGATTGTCCTGTCTAGTTTCATATAAAATATATCCAATGAAGGAATTATTTCCCTGAAATTCTTCTAAGTATTAATATGGAAAGGAATTTCTTGGAATTATTTCAAACACATATAACTGATCAATTGTTTTCATAGAAGCAAAGAGTTCAAATCTTCCCTCTGGTATGGAATGTCTGTGGATTCATACTTCCTGTATTTGGCTTATCAGTTTCAAAATTATGCTAACTAATAGACATTAAGCCAGGAAGAACATCTTAACACGAAAGAGAAAGAGACTAAATTTTAATCCTCCTTACTCCTTAATTACTCAGTAACAATAATGGCACCAGAAGATAGAATTCACAACTTACTTGTGGAATCTTGAAGAAACTTGTAATTTCAGCAATATGAGATGATGATACAAAATCCAGTCCCCCAATGATAGCCATGAGATTCTTCTGGCTATCACATTTGTAGTTAGGGACAAATTCCTGGGATTTGAAAAGCAGGTCCAGAGTGGTGCGATAGGTCATTCTCGCATTGAGGTAACTGTCATAGATGTGGAACCCAAGAGTGATGTTAGGTAAGATCTGGGAGCCCCCATTGATCTCCTTCACAGCAAAGGCCAAGGCAAGGATGTGTTGATGAAATTTGGTGAATACACTGCAAATAGGTTAAATGCCCCAATTGAAAAATAATAATAATTTGATAATCTTGTACGGTGGCATCATTTCTACATGAATAACAGACTTTTTTTGTCTGACAGTAGTAGGAAGATTATAGCTTTGGTACAATGCTTCATAATACAGTGTTCAGATTTATTTTAAACAGCATTCCCATGACTTCCAACAATATCTACTGCAACAAATACAAGTAGTGACTTTTTTCAAAGTACTATATTTATTTTCTATGAGATTTTCAGAAAATGATATATCAACAGATTCAGGAAGTATCACTCATTTACTGTATGTAGGTTTTGTGAGGAGAGATAGTGCCAAATCTTTCTAAAAATATATATTTACTTCAGTAAATGTTCAAATATAGACTTCTTGATCTGAAATTTTGTACATTTCACATGAAAGACTTTAAAAGAATGTAAAGAAGGTTATTTTTTCTATCATAACCAATATACAGTTGAAAGAAAAACAAGGCATAGATTACATTAAAATGCTACATTTATGCACAAACAGCTTTTATTCATATAAAAGATTTCTAAAAGTCTGCGTAAGATTAGATAAAGAAAAAAAATATTTACACTGGTATTTCATAGGGTTATAGAAGGATTTTCACTAAATTTAAATTCATAAAAGTGGTAAGTGAAATGTGATGCCATCCTAACAATGATGAAGTCTCCAGGCTGGTACCACTCATGTGGAACAAGTAAAACAGCTTTTACTCATATAAGGGATTTTCGAGATTGGCTAAGATTAGATAGTGAAGAAAAATTCTTACATTGGTACCTCATAAGGTGTTAAAGAAGGGTTTTCAACAAATTTCATTTCATAAAAGTGATAAACGATGTGAGACGCCATCCCACCAATGGTGAAGTCTCCAGGCTGGTACCACTCATGTGGAACAAGGAAAGCATCACTCTCAGGGCAGCTCAGAGTACCTACTTTATGCACCAAAAACATCAGGAGAAACATCTTGGTGATCTTGTTATTTTGAAAATGTTTTTCCTTCCCATAGGGAAGCATATATAATCCAATACTTCATCTAAAGGTAGATCTAAGGATTATATTTGAGAATACATCTAATGAGAAAATCTATCATTTTCTGTTTGAAGATCCCAGTGAGTACAATTTTTTCTCTTGAATATCACATGGATTTGAACAAATACTCTGGCAGAAGAGAACAGAGGGTGGATACTTGAAGCAATGAATCTGACAGAGAAATTACTACCCCTTGTATCAAACTCTCTATGCTTCAAGATTTATTTCATAGCCAAACAGAAACCTTCATTGTTGTTGTATTTCAATAACCTTCTGGGAAGCCTCTAATGTTTTGGCCTATAGTAATTCCTCTAGGATATAATTATTTTATTTTGATGAGATAATAAGTAGCTGTTTTTTTTAATGAGCAATTGCCAACAAAAGTAATATAAGGGACATTTCCAATAGAATATATATTTAATTGTTATAACTGTACAAATAAATACAAAGCTTCTTTTTTTCAAGATGACACATTTATTTTCTACCCATTTTTTGCAAAATAAAATATGAACAAATCCAGCAGGTATCAGTCATTTATTGTAGGTATGTTTTCTGAGGAAGAACTATGCAGAACGTTTTTAAAAAAGTGGCCCTAAGCTTTCTAAAACGCTTCAAAAAAATTCTTGCACCAAAGTTTCATACATTCTCTGACCAACACTTTAACACAGGGTTGTCAAACACAAGGCCTGTGGGCTGTATAAGGCCTGCAATGTGGTCAGATCTGGCCCGTGGGGCTATCCTGGAAAATATAAGACCTCTTGGCTTCGGCCCGGTCTACCCAATGCAAAGAGGAAACATGCCAGAAGTTTGGGGAGTGGCATGAAGCTGGCCATGCCTACCCAGTTGGCCACACCCACCCAGTTGGCCACACCCACTCAGTTGGCCACACCCACTCAGTTGGCCATGCCCAACCAGCCCTCTGAGGTCATCCAAAGCCTTGATGTGGCCCTCATATCAGCCCCGGCATGCCAGCCAGCCCGGGACTGCCATTTGGAGGGGAGGCGACCACCCACCCGCTGAAATCCCGGAAGGGCTGAATATTTCTGTGCAGCATGACTGACTGCCTGGGGAAGCTACGGAATCACCCGGACCCATCCTTCCACTCCAAGGGTCTGTAGCGTGGCTGCTGCACAGCTGAGAGGTGGCCGTGCACCAATGATGTCATCAGGCAGATCGGCATGATCGGGGAAAAGCTGCTGTCACCCTCTTTGCCTTCAGACCAGACTTTTCTGGCTGCTCTCCTGCCAGGACTGATGAGCAGCGCAGTGGGTGGCTCTCCTGCGAGTGGCATGTGACGGAACATAGATAGCGGCATTGCACAGGCAGATCCAGAAGTGCAGCACTTCTGGGTCATAGGGGGAGGAAACAACAAGCATGATTGGGTGGCAGTTAAAAGGGGATTAACATATAAAAGGTGGTGGGAAGCATGGGCTGTTAGCTCAAACAATTCTGTCAGGTTCCAGGCTAACAGCCCATGCTTCCCATCACAGAAGACAGAAAGATACTGATGAGTCACAGGAGTTTGAAACACCTCCCCTCCCTTTCAGTCAGCCATGATTGATTCCCATGGAACCAAACAACAGTGGCGAGGGCCTCCCAAATGGCTTGTGGTATGTCTTCGTTTAGGTGGTCTGCCTTTGTGGATAATGTGGGTCGGACCACCCACACTGGGAATAAAGCCTAAATTACTTCCTCTTTGCCACTGCCATATCGCAGTTTCCTTGACAAAGCATCCGCCAGGAAATTCTGTCCCCCTGGAATGTATTTTAACCAAAAATTGAATCTCCTAAAGTAGAGGACCCAACGAACCTGTTTTGGTGACAACTTGTGTGGGGATTGTAAAGCCTCCAAGTTCTTATGATCTGTCCAGACCTCAAAGGGGACACTTCTCCCTTCCAACAGGTGCCTCCATGTCAACAAAGCCCAATGCATGGCAAATGCCTCCTTCTCTCAAATGGGCCAATGACACTCTGTGTCATTCAACTTTTTTGAGGTGTACACACAAGGTTGGAGGGCCCCCTCTTCATTGGCCTGGAGGATCATAGCACCCACAGCCATTGCACTGGCATCCACCTGCACCACAAAAGGGCATGAGGGGTCCGGATGTTTTAAGACAGGCTCTCTTGCGAATAGAGATTTAATCACTCAAAAGCATGTTGACAAGCAGGGTCCCACTGAAGTGGAAACCCTGGCTGAGGTTTTTTGTTTAAGTGTTTTGTTCATAATAAATTGGTCAGCAGGAGCACTATCCTTGCAAAGGAGGGGATGAAGGGGCGATAAAAATTAGCAAATCCCAAAAAACTCTGCAGTTGTTTTCGGATTTTGGGGGTTTGCCAATCCAAAACCGCCTTCAAAAACCACCTTAACTTTATTGGGGTTCATTTCCACCCCTTGTGGAGATATTCTAAAGCCAAGATAGTCCAATGAGTTCTTATGGAACTCACACTTGGAGAGCTTTACATACAAATGTGCGTCCAGTAATTTACCTTTCTCACCAGCTGGACGTGTTCTTCCATGGAGCGGGTGTAAATAAGGATATTGTCAAGGTAAATGAGAATCCCCTTATATAAATATTCATGCAGCACCTTGTTTATTAACTGCATGAACACCGCCGGGGGCCCTTGAATCCCGAACGGCATTACTCGAAATTGGTAGCTGCCTAGGAGACAAATGAAAGCTGTTTTCCATTTGTCCCCAGCCTTAATTTGTATTCTACAATACGCTTTACGGAGGTCTAGTTTTGTGAAGTAACGGCCTTCTGACAGCCTCGCCATCATGTCTTTTAACAGCAGTAGCGGGTACAAATGTTCAATGCATACCACATTGATGTCGCTGAAATCAACATATAGATGTAAACCCCCATCTTTCTTCTCTCAGAATAAGATGGGGGCTGCAATGTTAGACTTTGCGGGCTGAATAAAGCCTTGTTTGAGGTTCTTCTCAATATAGGCCCTCATTTCAGTCAAGTCCTGGGGCGGGGGTGTCATCGAATACATCTTAAGCAGCGACACCCCAGGGACAATCTCCACCCCACAGTCACTGGGCCTGTGGGGTGATAAGATGTTGCATTCCTTTTCACTGAATACCTCCTGTAAGTCAGAATATTCCCTCGGGATGGCTAGCTCCAAACCGGCTTTACATTGGATGGGACCTGTTGGCTGTGTTAGGCTCTCATGGGGTGGTGGATTTGGTCCTAGGCCTATTTGGAGATGGCGACAACCGCCTCCCCACCAGATAGTTGGATCCTATTTGTCCAACCATGCCAGGCCTAAAACCACATCCTCGGTTATGCGAGGTACTACTATAAACCTCAACTCCTCTCTATGTTGACCTAGTTCCAGAGTCACTTTACTAGTGATGTGTGTTGCTGGTTTACCCCCAAGCAGGTACCTGTCCATTTGCTCAAACCGAATGGGTTGGGCTAACTTGTGCAGGGGGTCTCCCAGGTGATTCGCTACCTTGAGGCTCATGAGGAATCGGGTGCACCCGGAATCGATGAGTGCGGTGCACCTCTGACACTTCGTTGCCTTCAACACCACAGGTACTACGAAAAGCTTAATGGGCATATGTACCATAGGGTTGGCCTCTGCCTCGCTGTCACTGGTGTCTTTGTTGTCCTGAGGGCTTGTGATCTCCTCTACCTCCATGGGGATTGACTGCTGGTCCCATTGACGCATCCCACGAGACTTCTCTGGTGTCGTCTTGCTGGTTTTTCATGCAGATCCTTGTCTAATGCTACTGGGACCTGGTGTTCTCTTGGTGGTACCATCGTCTGTACAGTCGGTGGCTCAGTGTCCCGGTCAACCACACCAGAAACACCTCATTCCCACTCCAGCAGGTGGGACCACAGCGGTAGGAGGCATTGGACACTGGGAAGGCCACATCGCGGGAGTGAGACTGGTTGGCTGGGGTGCTTGTCATTGGTCTCTGTTAGCCCATTCTTTCTTTTGCTGATTATCTCAAAACTCAACATCCTGTTCTGTTGCTGCTTGGAACCAGGCTGCCAAACAAGGTGCCATGCCCCGGCATGCACAAGCCTGCCTCAATGTCTTATCAAGCCCTGCCCGAAAGTGGTGTATCACTAGTCTCTCAGGCAATCCCCTCACTTTTCCTGCCAGCCACCGGAACTCTCTGATGTATTCTTTTACTGGCCTCCCTCTCTGCTTTACTCTTAGCAACTCCCCCTCCGCTTGCTGCATCCAGGTATTGTCCTCAAACCGCGCCTATACAGCAGACAGGAAAATGCCCACATCTCTCAACTCAGGTGCATGGTCACCATACAGGTCAGCCACCCACTCAGCAGCCTCCCCTTCCATGACTGTGGTCACTGCCATGACCATATCCCACTGGGAAGTGTATAGTCTACCATATCAGTCAAAATGGTTCAGCACCTGGCTGAGGAACAATGGCACTTTCTCTGGGCTGCTCTCATAGTGGCTCCCACCTGCCCATCAAGAGAGGTGCCTGACCCATTAACCCCTCTGTGCCAGGCGGTGTCTAGTCTTCAAACGTCTGTGGTCTCTCTCCATTGCCCCTGTGTTGTTTATAGGCATGCCTAGTGGGTCTGGGATCCTGTTGGATAGCCTTCTGGGACCCTCCAGTAAGGCCACTCTGAGTCTCATATTGCGTACCCGCCCTTGGCATCCGAGAACACCGGGGCGGACACTCAAGACCCTGGGCTCCATGGGAGGGAGGGGGGCCTCCAACATGCCCCTGCCAAACACTGCAATTGCCCAGCTCTCTAAAACCAGCTGCCCCATACATCTCCTGTAGCACCAATTATCATCATCAGAAATTCTATGCTCCCTCCATTGGGTGAAATGCTCTCCTGACGGAGTGAGCAGGGGTCCTGGTGGTAGATGGGCTCTAAAATCCACTGCCCTGGTATTTCCTAACCACCAGTCCCTCAAGTCACCTGGGTCAGTTTCCAGCGGTTGCATTTGGGTCTCTGAAGGCTTATGCTCGCCTGGTTGTTCCTTAGGCCAAACATTCACAGGGGTGCCTTCTGCTTGAGGAGAACCCTCCAGCACAGTAGCTTCAGTGGTATCTGCTGACTCTTCAAAATCAGCTGCCTCCAATTCAGGTACCATGCCTTCAGTCATGGCTTTTGTGAAAGAGTCCTAACAATTCTGTCAGTTTCCAGGCTAATAAGAAAGAAGGACACAAGCAAACTAGGTTTGTTGCTGCCTTTTCTTTATTTCTGGCACTCACTAACAATCCAAGAAGGAACTATTGTTAATACCCTTTTAAACGCCACCCAATCATGCATGTTGTTTCCTCCCCCTATGACCCAGAAGTGCTGCACTTCCGGGTCTGCCCGTGCAATGCCCCTATTTACATGGCATCCCATCACATGCCACTCACAGGAGAGCCACCCACTGCGCTGCTCATCAGCCCTGGCAGGACAGCAGCCAGGAAAGTCCAGTCTGAAGGCAGAGAGGGCAACAGCAGTTTTTCCTGATCATGCCGATCTGCCTGATGACATCATTGGTGCGTGGCCGCCTCTCAGCTGTGCAGCGGCCACGCTACAGACCCGTGGAGTGGAAGGATGGGTTTGGGTGATTCCGTGGCTTCCCCAGGCAGTCGGTCATGCTACACAGAAATATTCAGCCCTCCCAGGACTTCAGCAGCTGGGTGGTCGCCTCCCCTCCAAATGGCAGTCCTGGGCTGGCTGGCACGCCAGGGCTGATATGAGGGCCACATCAGGGCTTTGGATGACCTCAGTTGGGCATGGCCAACTGAGTGGGTGTGGCCAACTGGGTAGGCATGGCCAGCTTGATGCCACTCCCCAAACTTCTGGCATGTTTCCTCTTTGCATTGAGTAGACCAGGCCGAAGCCAAGAGGCAGTCGGTCCTACCGCACAGAAATATTCAGCCCTCCCAGGACTTCAGCAGGTGGGTAGTCGCCTCCCCTCCAAATGGCAACCCCAGGCCGGCTGGCACATGGGCTGTTAGCCCTAACAATAGTTCCTTCTTGGATTGTCAGTGAGTCCCAGAAACAAAGAAAAGGCAGCAACAAACCTAGTTTGCTTGGGTCCTTCTTTCTTATTAGCCTGGAACCTGACATCTCAATGAAACTGAATTTGACACCCCTGCTTTAACATATTCTAAAGAATATTATTTCTTTTCCTACAATTAGAAACATTTCAAAAACAGAGAAGTTATAGATTAAAAATGAAGCCTATATTTTTGCAAAACAACTTTTATTCATATAAGAAATTTTGGGGGAACTGGTAAAGATTATAAAAAGGAAAAAAAAAACACCTTTTACAATGGGAAGTCATAAGGCTTTATACAAGGATGTTCCTTAAATTTCAATTCATAAAAGCGATAAACTATGTGGGACACCAGGCCGCCAATTATGGGATCATCAGCTCTACATGGGACTCTACATGGGGCTGTCCTTTAAAAGTATCCGTAAGCTCCAATTGTTTCCAGATTCAGCCACCCGTATGGTTTTCTGCAGACCTAGTTGTGTCACCTTTCCTGTGGTAGTTGCATTGGCTGACAATTTTCTTCTGGGTACAATTCAAGGTGCTGGTTGTCACTTTTAACTCTACATGGCTTGGGACCAGGTTATTTGAAGAACTGTCTCTTCCTGATCACATCCATGTGATCCAGTGGAACAGGGAGGCAGGGAATGTTATGTATCCTCTCTCTTAAATCAGGACATCTGGTGGGACCCAGAAGAAGTGTCTTCTTTGTGATGGCTCCCTCCCTCTGGAAAATCATCCACGCTGAGATTAGATTGGTCCCCACTTTGACCCTCTTTTGCAAAGTCCTGATTTTGTCAATAGGCCTATGAAACCCAGAATGGGTTGGAACCTATGAAGTGGCTCAACTGATTGGGTTTTATTCCTAGTGGTGGGTTTTTATTCTTTGTATATTTTTAATTATTTTAAAAGCATCTCAGAGACACTGAAAGTGATTGGGTGGCCATATGCATTCTCTTAAATGTGTGAATAAATGAATGAATAAATAGAACTCCTTCCACTGTATGTCATAAGGTTTGTTCAAGGATTTTACTTATCCTTGAAGCATCACTTGCAGAGAAGTACAGAGTAACTAGTTTCTATCTGAATTAGGGTTGCACTTTCCTGTGCAGTTTGGGCTACTTGTCCTGTGCATAGAATCAATGTGTCTGTGCGTCTGTACGTCTGTACATCTGTACGTCTGTACGTCTGTACATCCATCTCTCTATCTTGTTTTCTTTATTCCTCTCCCTCCCATTCTCCCTCTCCCCCCTCCCTCCCTCCCTTCTCTCTCTCTGGATATCTCGATATCTAGCTTCCTAGCTATTTAGCGATCTATTTATAATAAATTATAATAAAACATAACAGTAAACATGGCATGGAAATGACATCCTTTTATGCAGCTCATTATGCATTTACAAACTGGGTGGAATTTAGCTAATGATGTCATCATACATTTTACACCTTTCAATCCCTTTCACTTGCCATAGCAGGTTCGTTTCATTTTATTACTTTATTTTATATTTTATTTTATTTCATTTTATTATTTCATTTCATTTTAGTATTTCATTTCATTTATTTGTTTATTTTTTTTTTACAATATATACCACTTTATTATTTTTACAAACAACCAAAGGCAGCAAACATATCCAATATACCATCCTCCTTATTTTTTCCACATAGCAACAACCCTTTGAGGTACACTGGTCTGAAAAACAGTGTTTGGTCCAAAGTTATCCAGCTGGCTTTGAGGGCCAAGGCAGAGCTTGAACTCATGGTCCCTTGCTTTCTACCGCAGTTCCTTAACCATTAGACCAGGTTAGAATCCCTTTAAATCTAGAAATTAAAGAGAAACCTCAATGAAAGAAAGAGTATAAATTGCAAAGGCACCAAATATCAGGTTCTTTCCCTGAAATTGTGTACAACTCACCTTTGATCTTTTAATTAGGGGAGCCAGAAAGAACACATGATATATTAATTTCTCTTTGTGAGTTGCTCCCTGTGGTTGAGGTCAGGTCGCAAAATAATGGTGTAGCATTTTGGCAGGAATATGCATCCCAGTAATGCAGCACTGGAGGCCAAGATGGAGAAAACCTCCACAGCTATCATGGCTTTTCCCTTTGTGCTCAGATACGCTGGAAAGAAGGAGATCCACACACTGCAAAAGGCCAACATGCTGAAAGTGATGAATTTGGCTTCATTAAAGCTGTCAGGTAATTTACGAGCAAGGAAAGCCACAATAAAGCTGGCGACGGCCAAGATACCCATGAAGCCCAAGACACAGTAGAAGAAGAAAGCTGACCCTTCATTGCACTGTAAAATCATTTCCTGGAGCTCTGAATGCATGTCCAACTCAGGGAATGGGGGAGATGTTGACAACCAAAGAATACTAATGCATGCTTGTAACAGAGAACCCGAGAGGACGATAGAAAAAGCCAATCTTTTCCCTACCCACTTCCTCATCTGAGAACCTGGTTTAGTGGCCATGAAAGCAACAACCACGGTGATAGTTTTAGCCAGAACACTAGAAATGGCCACTGAGAAGGTGATGCCAAAAGTTGGTTGTCGGAGAAGGCAAGTCACATTGCCAGGTTGGCTGAGGAAGAAGAAAGAGGAGAGAAAACAGAGGAGAAGAGAGACCAGGAGGGTGTAAGTGAGGGACCGGTTGTTGGCTTTGACAATAGGAGTATCCCTGTGCTTAATAAAAGTTCCAAGTACCCAAGATGTCAAGAAGAAGAAACAAAGAGCAGCTGAAGCTAAACCAATTCCTAAGGTTTCTTCAAATGTTAGAAACATCACCAGTTTCAGGATACATCCATTCTTTTCTTCATTTGGATAATGATCTTCTGAACATTCAAAACAGTCATCCATATCTGGAAGGAAAATCAAGGGATTTATCATCTAGGTATTCCATAGTATTCAAATTCAAGCAGACAACACAGACTCATCCCCAACAGCCTGTGTCTGTCTTCAACGGTGAAGGGACACAAGGCAGAAAGAAACTCAGCTGCAGAAAGCACAGTTCCACAACACAGTCCTTTCAGCAGTTTCAAGAAGGCTCCATACCATTTGCACTACTCAGGTGACCCTCCAAGTGTCCTGAACCACTGTTTAAAAGAAAGCAAATGACTAGCTGTCTCCAAGGAATGTAAATCCTTCAATTCCCGCCCATCCAGTCAGAGTTGAAAAAGCTTCCTGGATGAGAAGCGAAACATCTTCAAAGGGGGGCGAGCTAGCTCTGCATCAGAAAGGATGCATGAAGTGCCAGCTCATCTCCCCACTGAAGTGGTACCTATTTATCTACTTGCATATAACATACTTTCTGCTAGATCGGCAGAAGCTGAGAGAGTGACAGAAGCTCACCACACCACACAGTGCTAGGATTCAAACCGTTGGAGCTTAATGATCTTCTCCAGCGTCATTAAGCCATTGAACCACCGCTCCTCTTCGATTGCTTAAATCAACCTAATGAAAACGTCCTGGAATGTCTAACCTACCCTTTTGATTTGAAATCTTCCCTTCTGGACATGGAACACAGTCATAGCAACAGAATTGTTTTCCTTCAATCTCCTTTTTCCAGTATCCAGGGGAGCAATGGTTATTACACAGAGAAATTGGAAGTACCTGGTGATAAACATAAAAGATTCTTTGAAAGGGTGGTTTTAGAAAAAAACATTTATTAATCCTGCAGGAACTAATCTGGGACAGTCACCGTGACCAAAGGTGGATCAGTGACTGACTCAGAGTAGATTCTTCAACATTATCCTGGGACACCTTCATTTGTGAGTTATTAATCATTCTCTTCTATTGGGCTAGAGAAATCTTTACTTCCCAGAGGCCTAAGTGAATATTATCTAGCTGGATTTATATTAAAACATTAAAAGTTGTTGAAGTTACAATGATGAGGAAAACGGTCTCTTTGAAAAAGGCAAGGTGAATAAATAAATATGCGGGATAAAAATGTTACAGAAATAACATTTCTGTTACAGAAATAAGGCAACATCCATAATTTGAAAGGCAAATTATGCAAATTATCCATAATTTGCAACTAAAAAGAAAACCTGACTTTTACATTGTAAGATCATTTTGTCAATTTGATTAATGCTTGATCCTGGGCCATATTTGTTCATAGTATGCTATTTTTTCTTACAAACATAGAAATTAGATTTCTAAAGAGGCTTTGCTCAATATGGTTTAAGAGACTCTATTTGGAATCATAATAGCTCAAGATATAGTCCATTAAATGAGTCCATGCCTGGTTAAAAGCTGGGTGCCAGACAATCAGATCTTCATCAAAGAATAATTCTTTGCCTGTTGGAGAACCCGGATCTATTCTTCCGACTCTAACTCTTTGAAAAGACCGATTGGGAAATGTGATGAGGTTGATGATATCAAATCCACCCATTACTTCCCCTTTTTCATTCAGGGAAACTTTCTCTCCAGCTGAATTGTTAAAAGAAATGCCATGTAGAAACGGATGGAGCTATGTGAAAGAGAATGAAAGAAATAGAGAGTTGGACGGACAATATAAGTAGTCTTCTATTTACAACAGCTTGTTTAGTGACTGTTTGAAGTTATGATGACACTGAAAAAGGTGCCTTAAGACCTGTTTTCACATTTATGACCTTTGCCTCCTTCTGACAAGCAAAATCGATGGGGAAGCCAGGTTCCCTTAATTGTGTTGCTTAACAATATAGTAGTTTCTTGGTGTTCATACCTAACTGGATTTTATAAGCATAAAATATTAGGGCTTTCCAGAATAGAATAGAATAGAATAGAATAGAATAGAATAGAATAGAATAGAATAGAATAGAATAGAATAGAATAGAATAGAATAGAGAAATTTTTATTGGCCAAGTGTGATTGGACACACTAGGAATTTGTCTTGATGCTTATGCTCTCAGTGTACATAAAAGAAAAGATACGTTCATCAAGAATCATAAGGTACATTTAATGATAGTCATAGGGTACTAATAAGCAATCAGATCATATTAGGAAGCAGTCAATATAAATCTTAAGGATACCAGCAACAAAGTTACAGTCATACAGTCATATGTGGAAGGAGATGGGTGATGGGAACAATGAGAAGATTAATAGTAGCGCAGACTTAGTAAATAGTTTGACAGTGTTGAGGGAATTATTTGTTTAGCAGAGTGATGGTGTTTGGGAAAAAAACTGTTCTTGTGTCTAGTTGTTATGGTGTGTAATGCTCTATAGCATCGTTTTGAGGGTAGGTTCAGATGATAATTCTAGATCAAATTGCTCATTGAAATAAAAGAAGTGTCCAATGCAGAGAGAATACCTGCCAAGGCTGCAGATATGGAAAGTCAGTTTTTTTACCCATCATTGTTTTTTTCTTATTGAACCCCGACATGAATAGAGCCTGCAAAGCATGAGCCACAGAATAAACAGCATTGTAGACACTGTAGCTTTGGCCAGTCATTTCCATTTCAAACACAGGCCCAGGAAGATCCTCCAGTTTCTTTTCCACTGGGCACTGCCTATTGGACATTTCTTGTAATTCTGATTTTGAGAATGAACAATCAAATGATTGTTCCCAAACATCTTGCAGAAACCCATCTCTGTGGTCTGCATGAGGCTTGATGGTCTGAAGAAACTCCTTGAAACCTACAACTGCTCTTGAATGAACAGTGAAGGAAAGAGCCCCATGGAACATCTGGAGATCCCAACTGATTTGAAAGCCGGACAGCATAAAATCAATCTGTGCAGTCATGATCCACACCTTTCCAAATGATGCAGTTTGCTTGTTTTCAGGATCTGCTACAAACATGATAGCCCTGAGCCCCATAATTGTCAGCGATTCACCATAGACGAGAAATGTGGTGGTGTTGCTATTCCTCAAATTAGTGGAAATATCTGAGAGCATGTGAGAAAGTTCGATATAGTGTTCAAAGTGGATTAGTTGTGAAATCCTTTGTATGAATGATGAACAGATTCCATTTTGTGAAAGCATGGGCTGCATTTTCTGTAGGAAACGTTCTCCATTGTTGTTATCCATAGTAAAAATCCCAATCCATGACCATCTGAAATGATGAAGCAGTTGGATAATTCCAATGTATTGATGGTCCTCTTTTGGGACCATGAAATAAAGTGACGAGCGTTTGCTGCTCTGAAACTCTTCTTGGGCTAAAGAGCCATATGTCAGCTAAAATAAAGCAGAATAATACTTTGTTGAGTCATTAGCTCAAATCCAATCTTTCTAGTTTTCCTGTAAAAGATCTCCAAAGAAGGAACTTTTCCTCTATTTCTTTGGAAATATTAATATAGAATGGAATTTCTAGGAATTATTTCAAACACATTATAATAGTTCATTTGTTTGAACAAGACGAGAATGTGCTACATTCAAATCTATGGTATGGAATGGAATGACTCTAGATAACTCACTTCTATGATTGGCATTGTAGCTTCATAAAAGACTGCGAAGTATTATAACTTAAGGTCTGTAGAAAGTCTTAATACAAATCTAATATCTCAGTAACTATGCTATAACAACAAAGTACAATTTTTTTCTGTTCATCTCCTCCATACTAACCTGTGGAATCTTGTAAAAATCTACAACTTCAGCTATATTAGATGATGTATCAGAACCTAATCCTCCAATGATAGCCATCAGAATCTTCTGGCTATCACATTTGTAGTTAGGGATAAATTCCTGGGATTTGAAAAGGAGGTCCACAGTGGTGCGATAGGTCATCCTTGGATTATGATAACTGTCATAGATGTGGAACCCAAGAGTGACATTAGGTAAGATCTGGGGGTCTTCATTGATCTCCTTCACAGCAAAGGCCAAGGCAAGGATGTGTTGGTAGAATTTGGTTAATACACTGCAAATAGATTAAGCACACCTTTTAATAATAATAATAATAATAATAGTAATAATAATAATAATAATAATAATAATAATAATAATAATAATAATAATAACAACAACAACAACAACAACAACAACAACAACCCCTCTGAGGAGGAGCTCTACCTTGTCGTGGTGGAAGGGCTTGCATGCTCTAGTGATCCTAAGGGCTATGCTGAACAGGTGCAACCATATCAGACAGATCTTAGGTGAAGGGCCAGACAAAATTTGCTCCACAACCCATTCAAACATGGTGAATACGAAAAAAATGAAATTTATGCCGGCTGAACCATCACCCGGATTAACAAGGGTTCCGTTGGATGCTATGGCTCCTGAGCATTCTATGCAAAATGAGTTACAGGGCTCAGCTCCCTCTGCTAGGCAACCAGGGCATGGAGCTGACAAGCTACTGGAAGAAAAACCCAAAAAGCGAAAAATCTGGACTAGGGAAGAAAACACCTCTATTACGGAAGCTTACTATCAGTCTGAGCCAGCAAAACGTGGATTTCAAAAATGAATGTATCAGATTTGGAAGATGAACCATACGGACTGTGACACCAGTGAACAAAGGTTAATGGACCAACGACGTGTAATCCTAAAACACATTTTTTTCATTACAGAAGAATTAATAGCAATAGAAGAGAAAGCAATTAATGGTCTGAGTACATCAACAAAGAAGAGTAACATCAAGAATGATTTGTAGACTCAAAAGCATATTGAGGAACAAAGGGAGGAAGAGGATACTGAAATGGATGAAGATAAAGAACAAGGAAGCACTGAAGAACAAACACCAACAGATAATGCTCAATTAGCTGGAAAAATGAAGCATCAAATGGAAGATGCTGAAAGAACACGTTTCCCAAAGCTGAACCAAGTGAACCGGAAAGAATTGAGAAATGTACTAAAAAAGGTCAATGAGGCTGTGCAAACTATTCGAACCACTACATTAGCCGAAACAAACCAACTGATGTATGCAGCAGCCGTCATAACCACCAAAGAACTGGGGTTGCCTCTTGCCAAAGAGGCAAGAAGGAGAAGCCTAAGTGGAAAATTCGATTAGAATTGAAAATCAAAAAAGTATGTGGAGATTTGAGCAACTTGAAGAACCTAAGGCAAGGTCAACTAAAGAATAAGCAGGTCAAAAGCAGCCTGGAAGCAAGATACGATCTGAGGAATAAGGAGATTGCGGTAGTAATTGAAGAGCTGAAGCAGAGGGTTGTTGCCATCGCTGAAAAGATTAAAAGGTATGAAAACCGAGTAACTCAGTTCAAGGAAAACTCACAGTTCAGAGCAAATCAGCACCAGCTTTATAAGAGCTTAGAAAATGTAACAACAAATGAAAAGCCTGATAAAGAGAAAGCTCTGAAATTCTGGAAGAATGTGTGGGAAAACAACAAGAAGCATTACAGAAATGCAAAATGGATCAAACAGGTTGAGGACTCTATTAAAGTGCATAAAATGGAAGACGTGAAAATAACAAAAGCAATAGTGCAAAGACAGTCAAGAAAAGTGAAGAACTGGAGTGCACCTGGACCGGGTGAGCTGCATGGCTTCTGGATAAAGGCACTTACAAGTGTGCACAAAAGATTGGCAACCCAGATGAACCAGATCCTAAAAACCACCTGAAAATGATGAATGGATGACAACTGGAAGGACATTTTTGATCCAAAAAGATAAAGAAAAAGGAAAGGACCCTGGAAACTATAGGCCAATCACCTGTTTGCCAACAACATACAAGCTTCTTACTGGTATCATTGCAAACCAAATCTATGGATACCTGGAAAGAAATAACTTGCTTCCTGTAGAACAGAAAGGATGCTGCAAAAACTCAAGAGGAACAAAGGATCAATTGCTGATTGACAAGCTAATCCTAAAGAACTCAAAGAAAAGACGAACCAACCTGTTCATGGGTTGGATAAACTATAAGAAAGCATTCAGTTCTCCATAGCTGGATCAAGAAATGCCTGGAAATCTTTGGCATCAGCAGCAACATACAAAAATTCATGGAATCTTCAATGAACCTCTGGAAAACAAAACTTATGGCTAATGAAGAAGAACTGGGTGAAGTTGAAATTAAATGAAGCATTTTCCAGGGTGATTCCTTTTCACCCCTACTTTTTATACCCTCAATGCTACCACTGACAATCATTTTGAAGAAGATGAACTGTGGATACGAACTTGCAAAGAAAGGACTGAAAATCTCACACTTGATGTACATGGATGATTTGAAGCTGTTTGGTAAAACAAAAGCTGAACTGAATTTATTAATTGAAAACACAAAAGAATTCAGCCAAGACATCGGTATGCAGTTTGGAATTTATTTATTTATTTATTTATTTCAATTTTTATACCGCCCTTCTCTTGCTGGACTCAGGGCGGTGCACAGCCTAGAATAAAAAATCACCCCAATACAAAATTTTAAATTTTAAAAGAATTAAACAAATTTTGACCCAAAATTTAAAACCTCCCGACTAAAATCCATTTACAATTAAAAATATCTAAAGGGGGGGGGGTGTGTTATGCCAGCCCAGCTTGATGAAATAGGTAAGTTTTGAGGGCACGGCGAAAAGCACAGAGATCTGGTATCCTACGTATCTCCGGGGGCAGGTCGTTCCAGAGGGCAGGTACTGCCACAAAGAAGGCCCTCCCCCTGGGGGTCGCCAGCCGACATTGCCTGGCTGACAGCATCCTGAGGAGTTCCTCTCTGTGGGAGCGAACTGGCCAGTGGGAGGCTATCGGCGGCAGAAGGCGGTCCCGTAAGTACCCAGGCCCTATGCCATGGAGCAGGTGGTAACCAACATCTTGAAGCGCACCCAGAAGACCACCGGGAGCCAATGCAGCTCGTGCAGGAGGGGTGTCACATGGGAGCGTCTCATTGCTCCCATAATCCCCCGCACAGGTGCATTCTGCACCAGTTGGAGCCTCCGGGTGCTCCTCAAGGGGAGCCCCATGTAGAGAGCATTGCAGTAGTCCAGGCGGGAAGTGCCGAATGCCTGACTGACTGTGCGCAAAAAGTCCCGATCCAGAAAGGGATGCAACTGGCGAATCAGGCAAACCTGATGAAAACCCCCCTGGCCACAGCCGTCATGTGCTCTTCTAAAGACAGCCGTGCATCCAGAAGGATGCCCAAGTTGTGAGCCCTCTCCGTGGGGGCCAGTAACTCGCCCCCAATAGCCAGGAATGGCACCAGCTGGCTACATTGGGACGCCAGAAGCCACAGCCACTCGGTCTTGGAAGGGTTGAGTCAAAGCCTATTTCTCCCCATCCAGACCTGCACGGCCTCTAGGCACTGGGACATCGCTTCAAGGGCATCATTGGGATGGCCTGGGGTGGAGATGTACAGCTGAGTATTGTCAGTGTACTGATGGAACTCCACCCCAAAACCACGGATGATCTCACCCAGCAGCTTCACATAAATGTTGAACAGAAGGTGTTAGAGGACCATCCCCTGTGGCACCCCACAAACAAGGTGCCTCGGGGTCGACCTCTGCCCCCCTGCCAACACCGACTGCGACTGGCCAGAGAGATAGGAGGAGAACCACTGTAGGACGGTGCCCCCCGCCCCCCAACCCCTCTAACCAGTGCAGTATGATACCATGATCAATGGTATCAAAAGCCGCTGAGAGATCTAACAGGACTAGGATAGAGGAACAACCCCTGTCCCAAACCCTCCAGAGATCATCCACCAACGCGACCAATGCTGTTTCCATGCTGTGCCCAGGCCTGAAGCCTGACTGGAGCAGATCTAGATAGACAGTTCATCCAGGTACTGAGGGAGCTATCATGCCACCACACTCTCAACAACCTTTGCCACAAAGCGAAGGTTGGAGACCGGACTGTAGTTAGCCAAAACAGCCGAATCCAGAGTGGGTTGCTTGAGGAGGGGCCTCACAACCGTCTCTTTCAAGGCAGATGGCAAGACACCCACACTCAAAGAAGCGTTAATAATCCCCTGGAGCCAGCCTCGTGTATCCTCCCGGGAGGCCAGCACCAGCCAGGAGGGACACAGGTCCAGTTAACATGTGGTCGCGTTCAGCCGTCCCAGTACCCATGTCCTCAGGAGTGACAGGGTCAAACTCTTCCCAAATGACATTCTGAAGACTGGCCTCCATCATCCCGCCTGTACCCACCCAGTCAGAGACCAAGCCTTCCTGAATCTGAGTGATTTGATCGTGCAGATACTGAACAAAATCCTCAGCCCGACCCTGCAAGGGATCCTCCCGTGCTCCCAGATGGAGGAGGGAGCGGGTCACCCTAAACAGGGCGGCTGGGTGATTATCTGCAGATGCAGATGTAAAATAATTACATTTTGCCGCTTTTATCGCCACTAGGTAGATCTTAATATGAGAATATTTTTTTTAATTTGATTTATATGCCGCCATTCTCCGGAGACTCAGGGCGGCTTACAATACGTTAAGCAATAGCCTTCATACCTTTGTATATTTTATACAAAGTCAGCTTATTGCCCCCACAAATTGGGTCCTCATTTCACCTACCTTAGAAAGGATGGAAGGCTGAGTCAACCTTGAGCCTTGGAGAGATTCGAACCAGCAGAAATTGCAGGCAGCTGTGTTAATAACAGGGTGCGTAAACCACTGTACTATCAAGGCTCATTGACAAATGTGCAACAATAGCAACCAAAGCAGACAAGATCATAGAAGTGGATGGAATAGAACTAGAGAATGAAGAAATGATAAAGGCGGTAAAATTAGAAGAAGGCTACAAGTACTTGGGGATTTTAGAAGCCTCTGATTTAATGCATAGTAAAGTCAAGGAATTAACTTTAGCCAAGTACATTCGGCGAATTCGTAAGATATTAATGTCCAAACTGAGTGGAGGAAACA